TACTCATTTTTGTATCCCCAGCACCTAACACAGTGCCTGCCACACTGGAGACTAATTGAGGACATGAACCTCATCACTTTTTTTATTTAAAAAAAATATATTTTTATTGATTTCAGAGAGACGAAGGAGAGAGAGAGAGAGATAGAAATATCAGTGGTGAGAGATCGGCTCATTGATTGGCTGCCTCCTGCACGCCCCCCACTGGGGATTGAGCCTGCAACCCAGGCATGTGCTCTGACCGGGAATCGAACTGCTGATCTCCTGGATCATAGGTCAAAGCTCAACCACTGAGCCACTCCAGCCAGGTGAATGTCATCACTTTATAGGTTAATAAGGAAACTTTCAGAGAGCAAGTAACTTGCTCAGGGTCACACAGCCAGGACTAGATTTCTGGTCCATGTGGCTTCCAAATTAACATTCTATGGCTGCCCAGTTCTCTCCCAAGTGGCCTGACCCACTGGCCCCACCTCTCCTTAGATACTTGCTTTCTGCTCTGGTCCCTAGGCAGTCTTGTCCCTGGCCATGCCACTGCAGCCCCTCCTCTCTCCATCCAGGTGCCCGCTCCCAGCCCTGGGTGCAGTTCCAGCGGCGGGCTGCCCGCCTGCCTGTCAGCTCCACTTACAGCCAGCTCTGGGCCTCACTCACACCTGCCAGCACCCAGCAGGAAATGCGGGCTTTCCCTGCCTTCCTGGGCACTGAGGCCTCCAGCTCAGGTATGCTGGGTGCCAGGCATGGAAGGGAGGTCCCCCACCTCAAGGGTTTAGCCCTCAGCCCTGTGTTACCTTCCCCCAGGCAATGGCTCCTGGCTGGAGCTGCTGCCCCTGGCCGCCGTGAGTGTTCACCTGCTGACAGGCAATGGGACAGAAGTGCCGCTGTCAGGCCCCATTCACCTGTCTCTGCCTGTGCCCTCAGAGCCTCGAGCCCTTGCTGTGGGCACCAGCATTCCAGCCTGGAGGTTTGACCCCAAGAGCGGTGAGTGCTTCAGGGGGTTGCCGGAGCTGGAGTTTGGGAATAGAGTCTTAGATGGGAGGACACTGAGTCTGATGCAATCCCTGCCTCTCCCAGGGTTGTGGGTACGCAATGGCACCGGTGTGATTCGTAAGGAAGGCCGGCAGCTCTACTGGACCTTCGTCTCCCCTCAGCTGGGGTACTGGGCCGCTGCCATGGCCTCCCCCACAGCTGGTGAGAGTGTGGTGGGGAGGACAGGGGGCAGTGGGGGAAGGGGAGGCTGGGAGAGTGGACTCCTCTTAAAAGGCAGGAAGGGCATCCACACCTGGAACGCTAAGCCCTTGCCTGGCACAGGGCTGGTCACCATCACATCAGGCATCCAGGACATTGGCACCTACCATACCATCTTCCTGCTCACCATCCTGGCAGCCCTGGCCCTGCTGGTGCTCATTCTGCTGTGCCTGCTCATCTACTATTGCCGGTGAGTGACACCCAGACCCCCCCCTTCTCTCATCCCATGCAGAAGGAGGCCTGCTCTAGGCCTGCCCTTGTGTTGGGCGCTCAGGCCCCCCAAATGCATAAAAGCACAGTCTGATCTTCAAAGACGCTGACTGGAAAGCAGGGCATATGCATATGCAAAGGCTGAAAGGCTGGTGGCTTGAGAGAAGTGGGAGAGAGGAGGCAGGACCTGTAGGCCAGGACCCTCTAGAGACTACCTGACGTTGCTCCTACCAGCCCAGCTCTCACTTCCCTGGGACCTCCGGCTTAGGCGCTCCTCCTAGGTTCTCACTGCACCTCCTTCATGAGCAGAAATGCAACTTACCCGGGAGGGACCCAAATGGGCACAGCTGCTACCTGGACCTCCCACAGACATGCAAGCTCTTTCCACAAACTTCTCCCCTTTCCACAAACTTCTCCCCGGAGTTTTTGTTTCTTTGTTTAGTCCCAGGCATTGTTCCGACCCCTTCAATTATATCAGCCCCTGATCTTGCAGCTGTGGGCGTTAGGGAGCTGCTCTGGCCTTACTCTTTCCTAAGGGTCCCCCTCTGCCTTCTCTCCAGGAGGCGCTGCCTGAAGCCTAGGCAACAGCACCGCAAGCTGCAGCTCTCCGGGCCCTCTGACGGCAACAAGCGAGACCAGGCCACCTCGATGTCCCAGCTCCACCTCATCTGTGGAGGATCACTAGAGCCTGCCCCGTCGGGGGACCCCGAGGCTCCACCTCCAGGCCCCCTCCACTCCGCCTTTTCCAGCTCCCGCGACTTGGCGGCCACCAGGGATGACTTCTTCCGCGCCAAGCCGCGCTCTGCCTGCCGCCCGGCCGCCGAGCCTGCAGGTGCCCGCGGGGGCGAGGTCGCCGGGCTGAAGGGCGCCCGTTCCATCGAGGGTCCTGGCGGGCTGGAGCCAGGCCTAGAGGAGTACCGGCGGGGGCCCTCTGGGGCCACGGCCTTCCTGCCAGAGCCGCCCTCGCCTCCGCCACCCTTCGAGCACTACCTGGGCCACAAGGGGGCGGCCGAGAGCAAGACCCCCGACTTCCTGCTGTCGCAGTCGGTGGACCAGCTGGCGCGGCCGCCGTCGCTCAGCCAGGCTGGGCAGCTCATCTTCTGCGGCTCCATCGACCACCTTAAGGACAGTGTCTACCGCAACGTCATGCCCACCCTGGTGATCCCTGCGCACTACGTGCGCCTGGGCGGCGAGGGTGGAGCCGCGGGGGCGGGCGACGAGCCCATCCCTCCCGAGGGCACGGCCCCCGGCCCAGCGCGCCCTTTTCCCCAGC